GGAGCAGGAGCATCTGGAAGAGGAGGAGGAGGAGGAGACAGAGGACCCAGACGCACCGTGGGCAGTATGCTGTGGAGATGGAGGCAGGGAGTCCCTCGCATTCCTTGGCACAAATGGCCCATAGCATGCTCGCTTGCTTGCGTACCGACAGCCCGAATAATAACCCATCAGACAGAGAGATGACTTTTGGCTGTCCACCTTGTTGGACCCTCGCTACCGTTCAAAAATGGTGGCCTTTTTTCACACCTGCTGAGAGGGAGGCCAAAATAACGTACTATAAAAACCACCTATGTAGTCAGTTGGTCTCTGCCTTTGTGCGCCAACCGTCCATCCTCAGACACTGTGTGGGCCCTGTGCGCTCACGTTCCGCTGCCATGGCAGCAGGGGAAGGGTGGGGTGGTAGCACTCCTCATGCTGTGACGTTGCAACAAGGTGGAATTCAACCCTACATATGTTAGACCGCCTTTACGAACAGCGAAAGGCCATCACAGATTTCCTGATGTTAAAAGCGGATAAAGGTTACTCCCTGTGTAACTTAGATGTCAGCCATTGGCAGCTCATGCGTGACACCTGCGCTTGCTCAGGCCCTTGAGAAGGCCACGCTATTCGTGAGTCGGCAGGACTATGGGATGAACGACATCATTCCCTCTGTTGCACGTCCTGGAACAAATGCTGTTAACTATGGCTGGTCAGGGTGCGGTAGACGTGGCGCACAGATCTCAACGCCACATGACCCCTGTGGGGGCAGGACAGGAAGAAGAGGAGGAGGTAGAGGAGGACATTGGTGCTCAGGAATTATTGAGTGAAATGGATGGTTTTTCCACTCAGCAGACAGGAGTGGAGGAGCAGGAGCATCTGGTAGAGGAGGAGGAAGAGGAGACAGAGGACCCAGACGCACCATGGCAGTATGCTGTGGAGATGGAGGCAGGGAGTCCCTCGCATTCCTTGGCACAAAATGGCCCATAGCATGCTCGCTTGCTTGCGTACCGACAGCCGAATAATAACCATCAGACAGAGGGATGACTTTTTGGCTGTCCACCTTGTTGGACCCTCGCTACCGTTCAAAAATGGTGGCCTTTTTCACACCTGCTGAGAGGGAGGGCCAAAATAACGTACTATAAAAACCACCTATGTAGTCAGCTGGTCTCTGCCTTTCTGCGCCATCGTCCATCCTCAGACACTGTGGGCCCTGTGCGCTCGGTTCCGCTGCCATGGCAGCAGGGGAGGGGTGGGGTGGTAGGAGCAGTGGCAGCTCCACCAGCAGCAGCTGCCTCAGTCTGCAGTCGATAATGAGTAGCTTTCTTCACCAGCGCAGTGAGGAAACTACTAACCAGCCGCAGCAGCAGCATCAGGTGGACCTGGAGCAGGACCTCAAACAACAGGCTTAGGCCTACTTGGACAGCACCCTGCCAACCGAGGTAGACAATCCCCTTGACTACTGGGCAACGAAACTTGACCTTTGGCCCCAACTAGCTGAAATTTGCCTTGAAAGGCTGTCATGCCCGGCCAGTAGCGTGGCATCGGAGCGCGTGTTTTAGTGCGGCAGGAGGTATTGTAACTCCGCGGAGGACACGACTATCCACCCAAAGTGTGGAGAGACTCACGTTTGTGAAAATGAATCAGGCGTGGATTAGTCTGGATTTCAAACCACCAGTTCCTGACACAACTGACTAAATCCGCCATGAATCATGCCCCAAACATGTGCCACTTTCAGGTCTCCTCACACTGCTGGTGTGTTCCATTTTTTGTCATAGGGTGCTGGCAGATTACGGGCCTCCCATAGCTGCTGCCAGGCCCCTAATCTGCCATGGGCCCCTATACCGCCTCCTCATGCTGCTGCCAAGTCCAGAGTCTCTCATGGGTCCCTGTACGGCCTCCCATTGCTGCTGTCTCCATCGCCACACTCTGCCATGTGCCACTTTCAGGTCTCCTCACACTGCTGGTGTTGCATTTTTTGTCATAGGGTGCTGGCAGATTACGGGCCTCCCATAGCTGCTGCCAGGCCCCTAATCTGCCATGGGCCCCTATACCGCCTCCTCATGCTGCTGCCAGGTCCAGAGTCTCTCATGGGTCCCTGTACGGCCTCCCATTGCTGCTGTCTCCATCGCCACACTCTGCCATGTGCCACTTTCAGGTCTCCTCACACTGCTGGTGTGTTCCATTTTTTGTCATAGGGTGCTGGCAGATTACGGGCCTCCCATAGCTGCTGCCAGGCCCCTAATCTGCCATGGGCCCCCGTACCGACTCCTCATGCTGCTGCCAGGCCCGTAATCTGTCATGGGCCCCTGTACCGCCTCCTCATGCTGCTGCCAGGTCCAGAGTGCGTCATGGGTCCCTGTACGGCCTCCCATTGCTGCTGTCTCCATCGCCACACTCTGCCATGTGCCACTTTCAGGTCTCCTCACACTGCTGGTGGTTTCCATTTTTGTCATAGGGTGCTGTATGGCCTCCCATTGCTGCTGCCTCCACCCACACTGTGGCTCCACACTCTGGTTTTGGCCCCGTGACTGCCCAAATGAGTGAAGTGTGCGGTGATTCTAAGATCGACGGCACTCATCTGCATGTCATACTGACTGTCAGTATTATTTCTCTTCCCCAGCAGACTCCAAGGGCATTTAAATTAAAGGTACAGTGTTCTGCACTAATATAAAGGCTCTCTGAAGCCTAGAAACACCCTTTTATAAGTTAAATTCGCAGCGAATATATTCGACTCGAATCAAAATTTTTCCACGAATTCGCCGAATCAGTCGAATCGAATTTTTGAATACTTCGCTCATCTCTAGTGCCCACCAGTAGGTAAATTACTACACTTTCTATCTTCATCCATCAGAAGGTGCCGTGCTGTGCAGCACAAGGGTCTCAGCCATTGGGCTTAGTGTATGTAAAGTTATTGTATATTTCAGCATTTGTGGTTTTGTTTATTTGCCACATCTAAGTAAAATTCTGTTGTGATAAAAGCTGGTGTTGGGGTTGCTTTCCTCGTTTGTGACTTCACTGTATCCTGGGGAGCCCCACCCCGTACACGGCTTACACATAAGGTATGCCCTAAAAGCACAAACCAATGAATTGTCCAACACAAATGAAATCACACAAAAATGAATGAAGTAGAGGAACGAGGTGTGGGATGGATCCTAGTGCAGAAGTAGCACATGGAAATAAAAATCCACAACTCCTGGTGAAATCAGACCCAAGGGAGATCCGGAAGCAGAAAAACAAGGGTGCCAAGGCGCTGGATCAGTAAAAAATTTGTTTATTGTACATTTGGGCAAACAGAGAGCAGCACTGAGGTAGTGGGTGGTGATCTATAGCACAGCAATATAGACTTACAGAGGTATCAGTGAGATGGACGACAGTGAGTTGGGACTGCCAAAAAGGGACCACAAACAGCCTCTGTACCGGCCAGCTGACCTACATCCAAGGAAACTGAGGGAACTTTAACACCATGGCTAACAGGCCTTTATAAATGTAGAAGATGCAGGGGCTGTAGAGTAACAAAAGTGAATGAGAGGAAAAGTGTAGAATTTGTAGCACAAGTAACAGGCAGAAAATATAAATTAAAGGATTTTATGCATGTGAAGCAGTGGTGTACATGTTGGAATGTCCCTGCCAGAAGCAATACATGGGTTGAACGTATTAATAGTACTAAAAAGGGAGTGAAAAGTTATTTGGTATTAAAACATTTCAGAGAATGTCATAATAAGGACCCAAGAGGTCTTAAGCTTTGGGCAATAGAGAAAGTAGATAAGCATGGGTGGGGGGGGGATTACATTAGTTAAGTAGGAGAGAATCCTTTTTAGTAAGGTATTATCTAGGGAGGGGGCTAAATATTTAGTTGATCTCAATTACTTCATCAGCAGCTCATTTTTTATGTTTTTATCTGGCTGGTCTCTAGAGAATATATGACTAGATTGGATTCAGTTTTTGAAGTTTTAGTATTTTTATTTAATATGTATTGTGTATATTTTATATACACAAATGGTTATGTTTACTATGATGGTCTGTTGGTATCGGGAGGTTTTGTGGGGGCAGCAGTTCAAGTCTTTTGGGTTTCGGCTGCGTTGAGCTGTGGCTACATAACTTTCGGTCTGTGGATGCAAAGTGGCTTCTGATCACGCCAATTCCGGTATCCCCGAGTACTGTTGCAGAAGGGGAAGGCTGTATATTTAAGGAAATAATGATATGATGCCTTGTAAAAGCAAATAAGTAGTGAGGTTGTGCGGTGTAGAGGTACATCTGGTTGGATGAGTATCTGAGAGGCTCTGTGTCTCCAAGTTTCCAGGTCCCGGATCAGTGATGACGTCACTTCTGGTCCTGGTGGGTGGTCGCACTTCCGATGGTGTTACTTCCAGTGTTCCCAGCTGCTGCCAGAGGAGGCAGCTTCAGGATGGAGGTGGAGGAGAGAGTATATATGGATAGTGTGGCAGTGAGGCTCCTGTCCTACTAAAGAAGCTCGTGAGAGGAGCGTAATGTGTATATGAACAGGAGCCACACTGGTGAGAAAGATCATCACGGATATGTGGACACATTGGCCATAAGCTTCACTGTTTTATGCTGTTATCATAGCACTTTGGGTGCTTTTTTAGTGTGAGTGTATTTATGTGGGCATTTTTTATTAAATAAATAAGAGTACATGGAGAGCACTATTTTTAATCCCATTTTGTATTTACATGTACATTCACTAGAGAGTGAAATAGTGTTGGTGGAGTATTGCTGGCAGGGAACAAGAGCTTGAAGGAAAGCACATGGCTAATAGCCCATGGTGGGGCCAAAAGTGCGTTATGAAATTAAAATATCATTGGGGTCAATAAAAGAAGGTAAGCGTGTGATATGAGTGTTACAAAACTCAGGACCCTGCATTCACAATATCTGGTCTCCCACAGTACACACAACATGGAAATGCAATTAGTTTAGTAAATATAAACTGCTAAATACATTTTCTCATCAGCAGTTAGATCCGTCATGTGACTTCTATCAGTGCTGATTGGCCCTGTGCTGATCACATGCACTCTCCCAAGAAAAAATAAACCTCTCTAGCAATACACAAATCTGAGCATGTGCAGAGTGACTCCACACAAAATGTCGTATCAGGAGATAAGAGGGGGACACTGGAAGAAGGGGAGGATCAGAGAAGACAGGATCAAAGAGTGTAGTTACACAATGCAGAGGATTAACCCCTTAGGTTCCACAGTGAGTAAAACAAGCATGCTTTACTGCATATACAGACTGATTTTACTGTTGTGGGTTTAGTAACACTTTAAGATCACTGTACACTGGTGGAGGATTAAAGTATGGACATCTGGGATAAAATTTGAAGAATGGAGTTTTTTTTTTTTTTGTGTTTTATTTATGTATTTTGATTATGCTACATCTAAATGTATGATATATGAATGTAGATGTGTGGTGAAAAAACACTGGGTGATGTTTTAAAATCAATAACTGTTTTTGATCATTATATAACTGCGCTGATTGATTTTTTTCACAGACCTTCATCTATCATCCAGCTCATCGATCCCTCTCTTGGTCTGTGCCGCTGTGCAATGGATCACCACCCTCTGGTGCTCCTCTCTGTTTGCCCGAATGTAAGTTTGGATATTTTGTGTACAATAACTTCTGACATTTTTTACTGATCCAGCACCTTGGCACCTTTGTTTTCTTGCACTGCTGGTGCACCTTATGTACTTTGAGAAGGTCTCTTGCCAGTAAGACTAAGATTTTGTCAACAACAGGAATTTGATCAGTCTTATGTAATATGCAGCTTCCAGAGTGAAAATATCTTCCCTGTTGTCAGGTAACTGGTCACGTTCAATTCATGTTGGCAAGGGTATGTGCATATTTCCTTTGATTTAGGTGATGATGTACCCATTGACCTTCTGCCTACAGTCTCTACACGACCAGAACAGCTGACATTGATAAATCACTGGACCTACTAATTCAGATGAGATAGCTGCTACACCATTACAGATCCTTTACCACAGGGGTGACCAACCTGCAGCCCACAGGCCACATGTGGACCAAGACAGCTATGAATGCAGCCCAACACAAAATCGTAAAGTTACTCAAAGCTGTTGATTTTGTTTTTTTAATGTCTGTACACTTAGCGAACACGTGGAAAAATCTGACAGTATCTTCTTACTGGACTTTTCTAAGTTTTATTTTCCCAAAGAAAAATATCCCACTTTTCACAATCACGCCTTATTCATGTCATCAGTTTTCGGCAGCAACTATATTTGTGAGTAACTATTTTAAAGGATGAAGCACGCAAAGGGCAAAATAAAAACCAAAGTATCTGATGAGCACCTTGAGAATTCATTGAGAGCTGCTATTACATTCATTGAACCAGATATTGATGTGTCACTTTATCAAAAACAGTGTCAAATATCACACTAGTTTTATGTTGCCCTCTTTTACTTTTATAAAAATACCATTACCATGTTTAAAGTGTAAGTTTGATTTTAAAAATTCTCACACCGTCATCATTATTATTGTAACAGAAATACAAACCTTACCGGCTAGTGCTGAGCAGTCTTCACATCCTCTGACTTCAGCCTAGCATTAAAAAGTTCAGCTTGTCTGCATTTGAGGTCTTTTTTTCCTTTTATTTCCTCCCCTAATTAGGAAGAGGTTGGATAGCCAGTATGTATAAATATCAACTTTAACCACTTCTCATCCGGCCCCATGTAGATAAACGGCCGGAAGGGAGCGCTAAACGTCCCCCCGCATCCCTTGCCTGTGCACGCTCCCTGGGAGCGTGCGGCACCCCGATCGATGCCCGCTGTGGCTGGAGGAACACAAATCGCTGTATGGGATCACTGTGTGAGGTCCCGATTCATGTGATCACTGATTGGCCAATCAGTGATCCCATGAACAGTAGTAAACAAGATATCACTTTCTGACATCATTGCTTACTACTTGTGAAATCTGTGAATGATCACAGAGGTCACATGGTACAAGGCTATTCACAACAGCCTTGTACCATGTGACAAGCTGTGACCAATCACAGCTTGCACAGTATTTCTCAATGGCTGCAGGAATGCAGCCAGAGAGAAGAAGAAATGAGTGCTTTTACAGCCTTTATGGGTGTAAAAGCAATCAGTGTAAAAAAAAAAAAAAAAAAAAAAAGCTTCATCACCCCCCACAAGTAGTACAGTGTCAATAGTAACACTGCACTGCTAGGGTGACAGTATGTAAAAAAAAAAAAGCAAACAAATAATAATATAAAAAATGTAAAAAATAAATTTGAAAAATTATAATTTTTGGTTATAAACTAATTTTTTTTTTACTAAAAAGATAGATAAATACATTTTGGCAAAGATTTATGAAGAAATATTATTTATTTGCAAAATTTTATAAGAAAAACACTTTTTTTTTTTTCAAAATTTTTGGACTTTTTCATTAAAGTTTTATCTGTCTCAAGAAAATGCTAAAAAATTCACATGGGTACAGTGTTGCATGACCGTGCAATTGTTATTCAAAGTGTGATAGCACTGAAAGCTGAAAATTGCCCTGGACAGGAAGGGGGTGAAAGTGTCCGGACTTGAAGTGGTTAAGAGGTGGTAACACACATTATGGCCCTGATTTACTAAGAATTGAGTCTACCAGCAGACTGAACATTGAGGTAGACTCAATTCAATCAATCTAGACCTGTCAGTCTTCAGAAAGGCGTCTAGCAAACTCATTGAAAAGAGTCTACTTTGTAGACTCTTTTCCTGTTAGTAAATCCAGAATCACGTCTGGCACATTCCTAGATGCAATGCTGGATATGTTCGCTAGGTGGCGCACAACCGCGGGCTTTGTCCCATTGGCATTTTTCTGTTTGCATATGAGAATACTTATAATTTAAAATAAAAAGTACACCTATATTATTATTTTTTTGGGTTGCTGTTTCTCCAAAATGATCAAACAACTAATGCATTTCCGAATAAATGTCATACATTCTATTTTCAAATGTCAAACCTTTTCACACTTATATCTTAAATAATTAGGAATGTCTAGTTCTAATTTCCCAATATAATTATATATCTTCATTCTCTTTAATCATGTAACTATTTTATGTTAATGTAATAGTGCAGCACTATAAATGCATGTTATCAATCATAAACGCATGTAAAATAAAAAAAGTGCAAATAAGTGCAATAATGAAGTAAACTGGTAAATGGTGCTAAAAAAGTTCATATAATCATTCCTAAATAATGCTAAAGTAATATGTTAAAGTAAGAGTGCAGCGCTATAAATGCATGTTAACAATCATAAACGCATGTAAAGTCAACAAAGTGCAAATAAGTGCAATAATGATGTAAACTGGTAAATGGTGCTAAAAAAAGTTCATATAATCATTCCTGAATAATGGAATGTCTTTCGTGTGAGAGTACCAACTCAGAGAGTGCCTATGAACGGCACGTGTGGTTTATCCATGATGGACAGTAGTGTATGAACTCGTGAAAGGTAATCCACCCTTGGGACGGGTGTACACTCACCAGAGCAAAAGTATTAATGCGCATGGGGTTATACCACATCACACATCTGGGGGTGCAGCGGTATGCTGGCAGCTATGGGTTAGTCATCCAGCTCCATCCATCCATCAGGGTGGGTGCCAAAATGGTCCTGGGGAGGAATTAGCTCAGCCACAGGAGCCAGAAAGGTGCTTAATAGTGTAGTACTTTATTATAATGGTCACGAGTAACAATTTAAAATATCCACGTGGAGTACTAAAAATAATAGCAAAGTGAGTACCAAGATGGCCGCTGCTCCTCAATGGCGGCGGCGTGACGTCAGCAATAGGGCTCCACTCAATGCGTTTCATGTACCAACACGTCCTCAGGGGCACACCAATAGGACGTGTCTTCATAAGAGACAAAATGGTGGTACCCAAGAGAATAATACCTGGGTCTTAAGAAACACATAGAAGTAGAGCATTTGAAACATTGGAAAAGAAAAGTGTTATTTAATACTTTGATTGTTCCTTCTACTTACCTGTTGTTCTCCCACTCATACATGTTATTCATGGCTAAAACAAATACTTTCATATACTGTACTATGTATACTTTGATGCAACCTGATCTTTTTTGTTCCTGTTCTCATAAACCAGCCTATACAAATATATACAAATTGTTCTGTGCTAAAAACTAAACAGATGTGTTTTAAACTGCGGCTAGATCTGCAATTGATATGTGATAATTATGAAATAGGATCATGCACAGCACTGAACCTATCAATATATAAAACCCTGTTCAATGACAGGTATTAAACAAGAGCTTTCTAAGCTGATAGATCATTCTTAATTCAAGCCTCATTCCTCCAATGAATATAAATCCCTTCAGCATATATTGTGTATCACACATATGTGAACCATAAATATCTAAAAGTAAATAAAAGTGCAATATAAGGATGCATTGATATCTGTTTTTTTACCGGCGAGTATGAGTACCGATACTTGTACTCAAGTACTTGGCGATACCAATAACTAATACCTTTGCGGTGTTATTTGAGCCCATTCCAAATCAATCGGCTCAAATCGCAATGCAAATAATAGTATGCAATTTGAACAGGAATGTGCTCCAATTCCTGTCCAAATGACATGCGGTTTCCCTCACTGCTCCTGTGTGAATCCAGGCTGAAAGCACTATGACAAGCCTGGGTTCACACAAGAGCTTTAAAATTGGTTTTATAGTTTCAACAACCATTTATATTTTATATTTAAAGGTGAGTGGGGGGAAGGAGCGCTAAGACGCATCTACCCTGTGTGCGTTTGGGGATGGACCATCAGCAATGGGGGTTAGTAGAAGGTCCATGTGGAGGTGGTGTCCAAGTCCATCTGTAGTGGGGGGCTTATAGTGGTATGGACTTGTCCGAGGAGGCAGCCGGCTTTTAGATACTCCTAATGCAGGTAAAGAAGAGAGACAACAGCACCACTCTAAGTGTAGACGGTTAAAACCAGGCAGATTTAAAGGTAAACTTGCACTCACATAGGTAGGTAACAGGTAGGCATGTCAAGTAATGGAAGTCAAGTGGAATCATCAGGTTCTTTGGCCATGCTCTGGCTGTTTTCCTGCCACTCCAGTGGTGTCCAGGGCTCGGGGAGTAGCAGAGGGGCGCAGGGAGGCTCACAGGGATGATGTCACCGCATGGACTTGGTTTCCAAGATGGCACGCATTCGGAGCATGCTCACTCCTTCATCAGCCCTGGACACCACCAAAGCGGCAGGAGAACACCCAGAGCGTGGCCAAAGGACCTGATGCTTCCACTGGACCTCCATTACTTGACATGGCTACCTGTTACCTTCCTATGTGAGTGCAATTTTACCATCAAATCTGCCTTATTCTAACCGTCTACACTTAGAGTGACGCTGCTGTCTGTCTTTTCTATATTTTATATTTAAGCCCATTTAGGAATGTTACATTAATGTCCAGTCAATTTACTGGGTCAGTAATTGTTATGTATTGTCAAAACAAGTTGGTAAGGTTTTGATATTTAAGGCTCATGCATATGTACGAATAACTGCTTCTTCAAAGATGCAACTACAGTTTACGTTCAGTACTGTATAAAACATAGGGCAGGCAGTGTTCTTTAGCAAACACCTGGGCACACATCTGTTTTTAAGGACTCACACAAATAGATGTAGCCCATCCAATGGTCCCTTGGAGCTTGGGGTTGCACTGCTCAGGCATCTTTAGGGCTGTGCCGCAGCCTGAGCCATTTGATTGCCAGGTCAGTAGGGAGCTGGACTCTGGCCACCACAATGGTTGGGACTTAGCCCTACCTATCATATACAGAGGAGGGATGTGATTGGCTGCATCTGTGGCTGGGGACAGGCACCTGCTGACTAGGCCAGGGGAAGAGGTGGAGAGTGGCAGAGAGCTGAGGAAGAAATAGAGTGAAAGCCAGGGAGAGGGAGAGGGTCTGCCAGTGAGGGGTGACTTGGGAATCCCCAGTATCATGATCTACATCCCACCTTGCCAGCTACAGGACCTCACAGAAAGCACAGAAATCCCAGTATCTGCAACACAGAGAGAGAGAGAGAGAGAGAGAGAGAGAGCGCAAACTCGAGTGAATGTCAGTGTGGCCTGAACCTCATCCAGCCAAGACCACGCCGCCTGCTCTTCATCTACCATCAGAGGACAAACTGCATCTGTGAAGACTTAAAAGTGGTGAGCGTCCTTTGGCCATTCTTAATGTGTTGGAATTTGCCTCCACCTGCTGGGATTCTACTGCCTCTGGTGGAGCTCTGTTTAAGGGGGAACACATCATCCTTTTACTGTCTGTTTTTGGGACACTTTGCAAAGATCTTTTTTACCTAGTGGATTAGAAATGCATTCACTTGGAAGTTGAGCATTCCACCATTACATTTAAAGGATCTCAATATCGGCAGACTCTGTGATTAGTGGTTAGCTAGGGTTTAGTGAATTGCTGTTAGGTTCCATAGTTTGTGGCATGCTCCTTACTCTTTATCGGGAATATTGGTTGCACTGTTTACTGTTTACTATAGCCTGCAGCATTGCTCTCTACTTGCTAGTGCATTTTAAGCAAGGCCTTTCACTGGCAGCAAAGTGTGAACACCTACCCTACTCACTTTGTTGTATTATTGAAATATACCACTGTTATTGAATTACTGCATTTACCATCTGCCTAGCCTGTATAACCACCTCTTTTTTTCAGTGCTTATTGTTGCTGTTACAGAAGATCATTCATTGACATTGGTGTGTTGTCAGCCATCTACAGAGTGTGTCAGCACTGGAAATGGTAGGAGAACCCAGAATTTGCAGGCTCTCTAGTGGGGGGCAGTGTTATATAAACCTTTTCTAAGCATCAGTGGGGTATGTTTAAATTTGAAGCTGAAGGCCAAGTAAACAATACATTGACATTTAATTCAGCTACGTAATTAATACAAAATGTCCTTAATGAGACTCTGTCAATACCTCTTACTTTTACATTTGCATACAGCTGCAAGAAGTACAAAGAAATGAACTCTCTAGTACCCCCTGTCTTGTTTCAAAATTGTATCTCTATGCTGCTGATTTATAGCTGCTGTATTACTGCAGCTCGAAACAACACTTTTAGGACTTTCAGCCCATGTAGCTACATCTTCCAGAATACAAATGTACACAAAATTTAACTTAAATATAAGTATCCAAAAAAATATACTCTATACTTATCTCCATGCTGCAGCACCTGCGTGACACTGCATCTGTCCCAGACTGAGAGCTGAGTGATTACCTCCATTGTCCAGGAAACTCTCAGCTGTGTGCTGAAAGGGGGAGCCAGCTGTCAATCAAGCAGATAGATAGATCCCGACAACATTATCAGGATCCTTCCCCTACTTGACGTGGCTGCGTTAGATCAGCTGATAGCAGGCAATAACCTGTTATCAGCTGACTCTAGGTCAGATAAGAACAAAAAGTAAATTTGACCCAAAAGAGAAGTATGGTCAAAAAAGGTTTGTTCATACTTTTCTTTTAATATCTTATAAAAATATCTTCTAAGAAAAAATCCACATGGTCAGATTTAAACAACAGTTAATGATTGGCACCCACTCTAAAAAGTACCTTATTCGTAAATGTATTTATATATAAATATATATATACACATATACACAGTTTATCTAATTTGTCGCTAGTTATGTGTCAGAATGGAATCATCAAATCTACAAAAAAACAAGAGAGCAACCATGTAACAGAAAACATTTATTGTAAACATTTTACTTTTAAAAATTCATTTGTGTGATAAAACAATGGCACTGTTAACATAATTTATACATAAGTATGCCTATCTTTGTTGCTGCTTGCATTGCAAGTCCTTGTGTCAATGCATTTCCCACAATAACAGCTATTAAGAATAAAGAAAAGAAAAAAAAATGGGAAAAAAAGAAATTAAACATTTAATATTTAATTTTCCTGAACAATTTCATTTTTTACTGTATAAATCACAAAGCAAATCTTCTGAATTGTAATATATGCTAATTGGTTAATTTGTTTGCTGCCTTTAGACAAGACCATGCAGTAGGTCTAACATATTAGTTTAGTGGTAGTGATAGCAGAATCAAATCACTCAAATAGAATTCCAATAACACATGTATGTATTTTCTCTGATTTCTTACAGTATTATCATCCTAAACAAATATTACATTCAAAATGCTAAACACTAGCACCATTTTTTTCCTTTTATTTAGTACAATCATTATATAGAAAAAAGATTGAAATTGAAAGACCAGTAACAAAGTATTCCTTTATAAATATATGACACATTATATGGAGTACGCTAGTAAAACAACAAGAAATCTTTGGTAGTAGAATATAATTTTATCTATTTTTAAGTGCATTTGTTTTCTTCATCTTAATAAAGTTAAAATCTTAGAAAAATGCTGAGTACCCACTAGGCACATCATTGTGCTCCAACATTGTAATTGCACCACTTTTACAGGGCTAGTACCAGGGGCGGACTGACCATTTAGAAACTCGGGCACTGCCCGAGGGCCCGGGGTCAGTAGGGGGCCCCATGAGATGCCCCTGGTACCTTTTTCATAGGCTTTTTTGAGTTTGGGCAAGGACACAGGGGCCCCATGATCCCCTATTGCTCAGGGGCCCCATGAGTTGTCAGTCCGCCTCTGGCTAGTATTCAATGCACATGGACAAAACATGCAGTTCACTAAAGGGTATATTAAGCCGTAATAGAGTGTGTTAACTCTTCTCATGATAACATTTTTCCTGGGACAGATAATTGCAGACCAAGGAATCAAATTTGTGCAGCATTCCTCACATTTTCACTCTCAGCAGTAGGAGCTTCCTACGAGAGCAGTGCAAATCAATAGGCAGCAGAGACCCAACATACAACATGAGGGTAAGTGCCACATGTAGACATGCCTGGTAATACTGTTCGGTTCATTCTTCAGCGCTTAGTACCTGGGGAAGTTTGGTGTAAAACAGAAATCATTACCCTGATTATTCACCACTCATGTGAAATAGGTTCCTAGGTCCACATTTAATTTCCTTTGGAGTTGTGGGTGCTCTTGTGGGTTGTTCATGCCTATTCAGCCCTAAATCAAGGTAACAGCAAACCTAGATGCTGTTTTTTTTTTCCCGTGGCTAGTCCCTATTATTATACTATTTTTGGAAATAGTGCAAATGCATAAACATTTTTTTATACTACTGAGATTCCTAAACAGTTGTGGACTTTTTGTCCAGTGCAAAATTTTAAAGCGAAATTATGGGCAAAATGACATATGATGCAGTCTGTCAATAGTTACTAGTGGCAGTTTTATTACCTCTTAATCCTGCCAGTAAATTTGTTATTTTTAAACTACCATTAACAGACCAAGCTGACCGGCAAAGCAGTGGAGGGTTCAGACAAACCATTTAACACCAACTGGCATGCCTTTATTCATTTATGTAAAACCTTCACTTCGAAAGGAAAAACACCTTTTTCTGTAACTGCTTAAAAAGCGTTAGCTGGAGTCATGCTTTAATTTGTTAGTGAAGCATGTAAAATCCATCTAAATTCACTGATCCATCTAACAGTACCCTTTCATAGGTTGGCTGTCTAATAGTGGATACATTGGGGTTTACTTACTAAAGCTAGTTCACTCAGAGTCTGGTTAGCCAAACAGCTTCTGACCTCAGCTTGTTCAGTTAAGCTTTAGCAATACAACCTGGAAGCTGATTGGTTTCTATGTGGAAGAGCATGAGACTCTGAGTGAACCAGCTTTAGTAAATAAACCCCATTGCTCCTCCACAGATACAGTGGAGCAGTGAGTGTAGCTACTCTAAGATAGGAAATGTGTTACTGGCAGAATCACCAGAAGAAAATGAAGAAAAACTCAATGCAGCCAGGACTGGTAAGTTGCAATATACTAAATGTTTGTTTTTAGGTTTAGATATGCTTTTAGCCCAGTCCAGCAGCCCAAGTGCATAAATATGTGTACAAAAAAGGCATGCATGCATACAGTCCAGATATAGCTTCAAGATTTTAAAGACTTGACAAAACACATTTTTTTTATTCTAGCAAACATTTAGAAAAAATTTAAACAATTGTATCCTCTTTTGCTTGGAGCAATGAAGAGTCTGTCAATAAATCTTCTATTAATGGACTTTACGTCTCTCACAGCTTTGCTTTTATGGTATCTTTAAATGTACATTTGTGACCATTGAACAGCGAGACAGGAATTAAGAGCCAATATATGCTCAGTGTCACCTTATATATCTGGCTCTGAGTTCATCAATAAAAGATTTATCCGTTTCTATAAATTGCATTTTCTTTCTGTTTAGAAATGTCATGACTGTCATTCTGAATATGGCACTATCGTGGAATCAATGACTACATTTCAGTAAGGCAGTTTTATCAAACAGATCACTGGCTGACAATGCCTACATAAAAAAAAATGCACATATTGATGTTTGTTGTTAGAAGAATGTGATGACCATGATTAATTACATTTAGGTTAGTCTTCTTGGGTGACCTTGTCTTCGTAAAGTGCTTAATAAGCATTCTTTTTATGTTGATTTTCCCTGAGAGATTTTTGAGGAACATTCAGTCTGTAGATTCTCTATGTAACCACCACCCGCAAGTCCTGGCTGCTGTCACTGCTGAGGCTGGAATTATCAGGGGTTGCCTGGGCCTGAGCAAAGTTGATGAAAACCTAGAAAAAAGATATAAAGGTACATCAGAGGAAAATAGTATTACAACACTTTACACATCATGGGAAACTAAACCACAGCAACCAATCAGATTTACTAAAGCTTACTATACTTTGCGTAGTGTTTTTTGTATATAGCACAAAGCCTTGCCTAGGCCCTAAGCTATATTTAATTGTTGAACACAGAAAAGTAGTAACTTGAAAAATAATCTGGATACCACACTTGGAATGCCCCTCAAAGCTGGAGCCCCAACTCCCACTATCTTCAGGTGCGGGGTGCAGGCTGCCAAAAGCCCGTCTGAGGCAGTGCATACATGAAAACAAAAAAGTGCCATTCTCCTAACTAGCCAATGTAGTATAGACATCAAAGTGGCTTCAACCATTTCACTCCGCCTATCAGGGCTTCTCACAGAGTACCCTACGATTAAGCCTCAATGGACGGGACGAAACTCGTCAAGGGACGTGGTCTTTGACGGAGACTCATAGGCTAATGCTGTTTTGATGTTTATACTACATTGGCTGGTCGGGAGAGTAGGGATTTTTTGTTTTCATGAAGAATAATCTATTTATAGTCCTACATGAAAGGTCCTCCGTTGCCCCTGAAAATATGTGTATCTTATATGTACCTTTAAAAGGGAACAACAGTAGTTTTGAAACAACTGTATTTTTTGCATGCTGATTTTTATAAGACCTTTATTCCAGAGTGCACACATAACACTAGTGTCAAAGAGCATCATGGGTAATCTAAAGAGAGAGGAAAAAGGAGAAGCTGCTTGCTTTCAGGCAACTTCTCTCTAGTTGGAACCATATCGAGCAGTAGGAAATAGAGTGGGAAGAAAGGTGAGCCACTTCTTTGGCCCATTCAGATGGTAATCAAAGCTTCAGCTATCTGTAAACTCAAGGCAAAAGAGTTCCAATTATCCCAGTAAACATGTGAAAAGGAGCTCTAACTGCTAGCTGGAAAAGGCAAATATTAATTTTCCTATGTAATATTTCATATCGGGCCACATAAAACTGAATTTTTTTAGATATTTATTTATTTTTTCACCCTAAATGCACTAAAGACAATATAGACAACACCACATTCCCTTTAAAAGAGATCAGGGGTAAGCCCTAAATAAACTTGCTCTCAGCTATATATACTGTATGGCTGATGGCACCTTGATCACAGGGTGTCACTCCCAAATGTATGCATCTGAAAGCTGACTTTGGCATATTTGTTTTGCTTTTTTCTGGACCAAAGCTGCTGGAGTTGTGAGAGATTGAACTCAGTGGATGAATGTCTTCATTTAAATGTTGTCCTCTTTGCTGTTAACAGGGCTGAGTGCTATAAAACCTAATAAAACAGACCTGCTATTATGTCACTTGACCAAACTACATTATGATTTGAACCTGTTGATGAGTAGGAAATATGTTGTATACAAAAACGCCCCTGCTTTCTTTCTCCAAACCAACCAAAACAGCAGATGAGACTCAGCTCTTACCTTCTTGTGATTCCCACAATTATATTGTAATAATAAACAAAGTGCCCCCTCCCATAAGTTTTAATAATGGCATATCAGTCACAAAATACCCCTACGTGACGTGACGTGTATGACTATATAAATAAAAAATCAGATCAGATTATAACTAAGTATAAATATAAACACTTATGTAAAAGATAAATGTAAAAATAATGTGCAATCCAATAAGTAAAAATCACACTGAAATATAGTGATACACAAAAATCACAATTCCAGTGCTTATTTACACTCTAAATTGCTTTTTTGGTGTGCAGTCACTGTGGGAAATCTCACAGTTTAGAGAGTGAATACGCTGTGATTGTTATATTTCGATTATCACTATTTTTTTCACTTTGATTTTCACTTTTTGTATTACCATTATTTATTTTTTATCTTTTAATATACATTTATTTTTATACCTATTTATAATATGATCTGATTTTTATTTTTATAGCCATACAGAAAGGTAATGGTATTTTGTGATTGATATGTCATTTATTAGAACCTTTGGGAGAGCTGCACTTTATTGTTACAGGTAGGAAATATGAGCAAATACTTTTAATTTCTGCAAACTATAATTTTGGCAAAATGCTTGTCAACGTGAAAGTTTGGAGGATAAGTAAGACTACCACCTATAATAAGGGATATACCAGAAATGTAAGATATATATATATATACACACACACACACACACACTGTATCTAAGCATTAAAAAATTAAAAAATATGTTGCAGTGTACCTCATCCAGAGTTGTCTGACTGACTGAAAAGTGAATGATGTTCAAGGCTGTTTTGTTAGACTCGAGCAGGTCAAATATACTAGCGACTCCTCCTACAGACACAGGGACATGGTACTCCACCATAGTGAAGTGGTGTTCCTATTCAGGAAAAGAAAAAAAAAACATTTTTAACATACAAGTACCTTTAAAACACATTTAGAATCTTCAAAAAGTCACAAATGGAGTAAAAAGGATTTTTCAAGTCAACTTATGAAAAAGATTTTACCTGCATCTACTACTGAGACATGACTACCTTCTGTTTTAGGAAGATAATACCATGCAATGTACTGATTAGGGTGGAAGACACATGGAAGCCATGGTTTTCATATACTGCATATACTATGCATATATATTTCATATACTAACGATGGCCAAAAAGCCTGCTGTATGCAGTTTGGAATAAATAGCTCTATAATATTAGGATACATTTGCAGTATACACCAGTGGTTCTGGATGTGCATTTTGCTGTTGGGACAAAGAGGGATTTAGGAAGGGCTAAAGGCTCTACTGTCCTGTATTGAGGAATAATACTCTAATTTCTGTGATATGTATGTTATGGAATAAGACAAGTGAATACCTTCTGTTTTAAGAAGACTTTACTGTGCTA